GCCAAGAACAAGAATCGAACAGCTCCTACAAAATGGAGTAAGGAAAAAATGTTAACAAATAAATAAAAGAAAAATTTTCAATCTGCAACTTCAATTCCTTTATTTCTGGAACTGACATATGGTACGTAGGGCCAAAAGGTAGTTGCAATCCTTCTTTCAACTGAATTTATGATCTACGCTTCTTTTTGCTAGTAATTCCTTAGAAAGTTCTTCCAGAAATATATCTTGATACTGTGTAACTATTCCTTCTAAGAATTCTGGTATGTATAAGTTCATATTATCTTTCTTCTCTGCCAGGCTATCTGTTACTACTATCACGAATAACTCTGTGGCACATCTTGCTTCTTGGGCAAATTGCTGCCTTGTTATTAATATTGATTGATATTCATTAGTGTTTATATTCTAGATGGCTTTAATCTTAAAATATTGCTGGTTCTTCTTAATTTTTATGTGATTGTTTTTCCAATTGATATGTGGGTTAATATCATATAGCCACGGTTTGTCTAAAATCAAGTCATATTTTTGTAATGGCAGAATTTTAATATTTTTTCTCTATTCCTTATATCCTTGCATTTTGACTAATACATCTTCTACATTTCTCTTCGATTTGCATCTAGACCCATCAGCTAATTCCACAATAGTAGGTTTGTGTTCTCTTATTACATCCAACTTAAATTCTTTTACAAATTGCTCATTAATAAAATCTTTAGATGCGCTGGAATCGAATAAAATTAAAACTTTTCGACCTTGGACTTTTCCTTCCACCTTGAGTAGACTTTCTCTACATGATTTGTCACTGTCGTCGATAGCTCTATTGTTGTTTTCTTTACTGGTTTCCTTTATATTTACCTTTTCTACTTGATTAACTTCCTTATTTTCTTGTCCATTATTTTTATAGTCTCATGCGAAATGACCTTTTTTCCACAACTAAAGCATTGCCCGTTTTTCTTGAAATTTTTCTTTTATTTATTTGTTAACATTTTTTCCTTACTCCATTTTGTAGGAGCTGTTCGATTCTTGTTCTTGGC